ACTCGCTGCATGACATTAGATGAGCCTGTCCCTCAGTTTACCCCTTCATAGAACAGGATTATAAAATCCCCCCCCCATACTCCGAGCAGGACAGAAGGTCTTTCCAATCCCCTGGGCAGTTTATCTGGGGGGAGGGGCTATGTTCATTTTCCTTTCTTATTACACATCACCGAGCTGTTGCGAGCTGGGGTTGGGGCCAGGACTGCGGCTGGGGCTGAGGCAGAGCGGGGCTGGGTGGTGCTTCTTCCCTGGCCCCCATGGGGGCTGGCCCCACCATGCTGCCCCAAAAGTTCCCCCATGCCCTCCTAGGGTGGTGCTCCCCACAGCTAGGGGAACACTGCCCTAGAAGGGAAAGGCCCTGTGCCCCCTTCCCTGCCCCCCCACCCCGAGTCAGCCAGTCCCCTGCTCTGGGGCTGGATTGGAGCCAGTGCCCGCTAGAGGGGAAAGGCCCCATTCCCCAAATCCATGGCTCATGTCTGGTCTGGGAGCTTTAGCCCAGGGGTCCCCCCCAGCCACTGACCCACAGGGGTTCTACGCTGTGACCGACGCAGCCTGTCCAATCCCCAGCCACAGCGCTGCAGCCGACCCAACGCTAGCAACCAAATGCCCTTGCGCCATCCCGAGCCCCCTAACGGTCTCTCTTTCCATGGCAGCGCCCCGACCGAGGTGTGCCCGGGCTCTCCGGCCACCACTAGGCAATCCCACATCTACAGCCAGCCGATGAACATGGGCAAAGTACCGCAGGTGAGCGACTCATTCCTCTGTGTATACGGGGCCCAGGACTCCTGGGTTCTATTCCCAGCACTGGAAGGAGAGTGGGGTTGAGTGGTTAGAGCAGGGGGGTGAGGTGGGATGTGAATCTTTAGGCTGTTCCTACAAGGAAGCCCAGGACTTTCCCTCTTACCCATCACGTTCACACTGATCTTAGTCATCCACTTCCTCTCCTCCGGCTTCTGCCCGGTGTTCGAGACGATCAGTCTCAGCCCGTACGAGCCGTTCTCACTGGCCTGCAGGTCAGACAGCTGCAGGCTGCAATCTCTCTCCAGGTCCCCCAGGAACCTCACGCGCCCTGCGACGGCCAGGCAGATGGAGGGGCTGTGTTTATACTGGATGGTGCCACTGAACTCTTTCTTCTCAGGGTCATACCCAGGGGTCAGGCACCAGACCAGGGAGTTGATGGTCGGGTTGTTTGTCCTTCTGGGGTTCAGGATACAGGATTGATAGCAGCACGGGATGGACAGACAGGCCCCCGTCCAAGCAATCAGGGACTCGGGGACCTCGACAGGTGGGTCACAGTGACAGAGGAAGCCTGGAAGCAGCAGAATGACAGAGACGGCAGCGAGGGGCAGGCTGTCCGGGCGCTTCTGGTGCCGAACTGGGACTCAGGAGGTCGGGGTTTGATTCCCAGCACTAAACTCCCTGTTCAGCTCATGGTGTGGCTCTGTGCCTCAGTTTCCCCATCTGTACAATGAGGAGATCCCAGGAGTCCTGGCTCTCAGCCTTCCTGCGCTAACCACTACACCCCACTCCCCTCCCAGAGCTGGGGACAGAACCCAGGAGTCCTGAATCCCAGCCCAACCCTCTGAATCCCCTATCATTGGATCACATTAGTCTGATGCAAGAGGAGTAAATCTCACAGAGGAAAACCTCCCTCTGAGCTTGTAACCCCCCCAGCCGGGTCTCCCCTTTCTTCTCCCCCGCCCCCAGGGCTCTGTGGGTCTGAAGCAGCCAGACCTTGAGGGTGAGGCGAAGGGGCCTTACCCGGGAGGAACAGCACCCAGACGAGACGCCTCATGGTGACCTCTGGGCAGCCGCAGCTCTGGGGAGCAGAGGAAAGAGCGAAGGGCTGGTCGGTTCCTGCGATGACCCAGAGCAACATCAACCATTGGAGAGAGAGGAGCTAGAGAGGAGACTGCAGGGAACCTGTTACCTGCCCTAACCACTAGACCTCACTCCCCTCACAAGGCTGGGAGAGAACCCAGGCGTCCTGGCTGCCAGTCCTGTGCTCTAACTCACTAGATGTCGGATGGGTTTGTCGTAAATGGCGCGGTCCAAAGGGCGTCACATTTACACAGGGGAGGCAGCTAAACGCAGGGCACCCGTTGCTCACCCCGCTGGGCAGGGGGGTTATTACAGGGCTTGGAGTCCAGAGGGGGACATTGAGCTTCCTCTGGGAAAACTCCAGCGGGGCCCATCCCTCTCCTGACGATCGATCCAGGGGAGACCCAGCAGCCCCTCGCACTGTGTGGGAGGCTGCGAGTCCGTGTGTAGCTATCACTGGTGCATGGATCGCTCTAGGAGTCGGACACGC